GGGCTCCGCACAGGAGCTGCTGTCCCTGGTGGACCGGCACCCGGCGACGCTGGCAAGGAGTGCCGCACCGGCGCTGCTCGCACTCGCCTGCGCCCTGGGTACACGCGCACAGGGACACACACACAGACACACGCACCAGGGCACACACACACACACAGACACACGCAGGGTACACGCGCACACCACACAGTCACACACACACAGGGTACCACACACACAGGGCACACACACACACACAGGGTACACACACAGTCACACACAGCGGACACACAGTCACACACACAGTACACACACACACAGACACACACACAGGGTACACACACACAGTACACACACACACAGGTACACACACACACACCACAGGGTACACACACAGTCACACACAGCGGACACACACAGTCACACACACACAGTACACACACACACAGACACACACAGGGTACACACACAGTACACACACACACAGGGCACACACACACACACAGGGTACACACACACACACACACAGGGTACACACACAGTCACACACAGCGGACACACACAGTCACACACACAGTACACACACCACAGACACACACAGGGTACACACACAGTACACACACACCAGGGCACACACACACACCACAGGTACACACACACACACACCAGGGTACACACACAGTCACACACAGCGCACACACACAGTCACACACACACAGTACACACACACACAGACACACACACAGGGTACACACACACAGTACACACACACACAGGGCACCACACACACACACAGTACACACACACACAGTACACACACACAGTACACACACACACAGTACACACACACAGTACACACACACACAGTACACAACACAGTACACACAACACACAGACACACACACAGGGTACACACACACAGTACACACCACACAGGGCACACACACACAGACACACACACACAGTACACACACACAGTACACACACACACAGTACACCACACCCAGGGCACACACACAGACACACACACACACAGACACACCACACACAGTACACACACACACAGACACACACAGACACACACACAGGGTACACACACACACAGTTGATCCGTCAGCGGGGGCCGGCTACGCGACGGCTCGGGTTTTTCTCCCTCTCGAGCAGACAAGTGGTTTCCGGGCCCCCGCACACGGCGGCGGTCCGAGCAGCGCGGAAAGGAGCGGCGACTGGGTACGCGGTGGAGCCCGGTCCCGCGGGGGCCCAGCAGGGCCCCGCGGGGCCACCGGGGCCCGCTGCCGGGGAGGAAGGCCGCTCGCCCCTGCTCTCCTGTAGGAGGTGGGCGGAGTTCCGTGCGGCGACCACCACCGGGCAGAGCGCAGCTCGCGGCCGGCAATGTGGGGGCCGGAGGAGGAGGGTTGATGCCGACGAACGACGACACCCGCGGGATCCCGCGCGACGCCCACGTGCCGGATTCGTCGGCTTCGCTCGCGTCTCGCATTCATTCTACTCGTTCCCTCGTTCATTCACTCGCTCAGTGGTGCACTGATTCACTCGCTCACTCACGCATTCGCACGTTCATTCACTCGCTGAGTGGTGCACTGATTCACTTCGCTCACTCAGCATTCGCACGTTCATTCACTCGCTCAGTGGTGCACTGATTCACTCGCTCACTCAAGCATTCGCACGTTCATTCACTCGCTGAGTGGTGTGCACTGATTCACTCGCTCACTCAAGCATTCGCACGTTCATTCACTCGCTGAGTGGTGCACTGATTCACTCGCTCACTCAAGCATTCGCACGTTCATTCACTCGCTCAGGGGTGCACTGATCACTCGCTCACTCAAGCATTCGCACGTTCATTCACTCGCTCAGTGGTGCACTGATTCACTCGCTCACTCAAGCATTCTCTCGTTCATTCACTCGCTCAGGGGTGCACTGATTCACTCGCTCACTCACGCATTCTCTCGTTCATTCACTCACTCAGTGGTGCACTGATTCACTCGCTCACTCACGCATTCTCTCGTTCATTCACACGCTCAGGTGCACTGATTCACACTCGCTCACTCACGCATTCTCTCGTTCATTCACTCACTCAGTGGTGCACTGATTCACTCGCTCACTCAAGCATTCGCACGTTCATTCACTCGCTGAGTGGTGCACTGATTCACTCGCTCACTCAAGCATTCGCACGTTCATTCACTTCGCTGAGTGGTGCACTGATTCCACTCGCTCACTCAAGCATTCGCACGTTCATTCACTCGCTGAGTGGTGCACTGATTCACTCGCTCACTCAAGCATTCGCACGTTCATTCACTCGCTCAGTGGTGCACTGATTCACTCGCTCACTCAAGCATTCGCACGTTCATTCACTCGCTCAGTTGTGCACTGATTCCTCGCTCACTCAAGCATTCTCTCGTTCATTCACTCGCTCAGGGGTGCACTGATTCACTCGCTCACTCTCGCATTCTCTCGTTCATTCACTCGCTCAGTGGTGCACTGATTCACTTCGCTCACTCACGCATTCCCTTGTTCATTTCACCTCGCTCAGTGGTGCACTGATTCACCGCTCGCTCACTCACACATTCACACGTCATTTACTCGCTCAGTGGTGCACTGATTCACTCGCTCACTCACGCATTCACACGTTCATTCACTCGTTCAGTGGTGCACTGATTCACTCGCTCACTCACGCATTCTCTCGTTCATTCCACTCGCTCAGTGGTGCACTGATTCACTCGCTCACTTCACGCATTCTCTCGTTCATTCACGTCGCTCAGTGGTGCACTGATTCACTCGCTCACTCAAGCATTCGCCACGTTCATTCACTCACTCAGTGGTTGCACTGATTCAACTCGCTCACTCACGGCATTCGCTCGTTCATTTCACTCGCTCAGTGGTGCACTGGATTCACTCGCTCACTCACGCATTCACACATTCATTCACTCGCTCAGTGGTGCACTGATTCACTCGCTCACTCTCGCATTCGCTCGTTCATTCACTCGCTCAGTTGGTGCACTGATCTCACCTCGCTCACTCACGCATTCGCTCGTTCATTCACTCGCTCAGTAGTGCACTGATTCACTCGCTCACTCACGCATTCACACGTTCATTTCACTCGCTCAGTGGTGCACTGATTCACTCGCTCACTCACGCATTCGCTCGTTCATTCACTCGCTCAGTGGTGCACCGATTCACTCGCTCACTCAAGCATTCCCTCCGTTCATTCACCTCGCTCAGTGGTGCACTGATTCACTCGCTCACTCAAGCATCGCACGTTCATTCACTCGCTCAGTGGTGCACTGATTCACTCGCTCACTCCACGCATTCGCACGTTCATTCACTCGCTCCCAAGTGGTGCACTGATTCACTCGCTCAACTCACGCATTCGCAGTTCATTCACTCGCTCAGTGGTGCACTGATCACCTCGCTCACTCACGCATTCGCTCGTTCATTCACTCGCTCAGTGTGCCCTGATCACACTCGCTCCACTCACGCATTCGCTCTTTCATCACTTCGCTCAGTGGTGCCCTGATCACTCGCTCACCTCATCGGCATTCACATGTTCATTCACTCGCTCAGTGGTGTTACTGATTCACTCGCTCACTCATGCATTCGCGCGTTCATTCACTCGCTCAGTGGTGCACCGATTCACATCGCTCACTCAAGCATTCCCTCGTTCATTCACTCGCTCAGTGGTGCACTGATTCACTCGCTCACTCACGCATTCCCTCGTTCATTCACTCACTCAGTGGTGCACTGATTCACTCGCTCACTCACGCATTCGCTCGTTCATTCACTCGCTCAGTGGTGCACTGATTCACTCGCTCACTCAAGCATTCGCCACGTTCACGAACTCATCCACCCACTCGTTCGCCTGTTTACTCACTCGTCCATTCACGAATTGACTCGCTCATGAAGTCGCTTGTTGATTTGCGCGCTCATTCACTCGTTCACTCATTTCCTCGCATTCGTATCGCTCGCTCGCTCGTCATTCTACTTGTTCCGTCGTTCATTCACTCACTCAGTGGTGCACTGATTCACTCGCTCACTCAAGCATTCGCTCGTTCATTTACTCACTCGTTCACGGACTTATTCACCCGCTCGTTCACCTGTTTGCTCACTCGTCCATTCACGAATTGACTCGCTCATGAACTCGCTTGTTGATTTCCGCGCTCATTCCACTCGTTCACTTACGCACACATTCACTCACCCATTCACTAGCTCATTCACTTATTTAATTACTCTTTCACTCACTAATTCACTCATTCACTCGTTCACTCAATTCCTCGCGCATTTACTCACCAGGGCACTCATTCATTTACTCACTATCCTTCACTCATTCGTTTATGCACACGTTCCACTCCACCCATTCACCAGCTCATTCACTTATTTAATTACTCTTTCACTATTCACTCACTAATTCACTCATTCGATTGCTCACTCATTCACGCATGTACTCACACATTCACTCATTCATTTACTCATTCATTGACTCATTCACCTGCTCGCTCATTCGTTCTCTCTTTTTCTCGCTCACCCGCTCATTCGCTCACTCATACATGCACGCCAACCGTGCGAATCGGCGATGCGTGACCAGAGGTCGCAAACGGGTTTTGATTCCTTACGCGTACCCGTACCCGGCCGCACCAGGGTCGCAAACGGGTACCCGTACCCGGCCGTACCCGTACCCTACCCGTACCTGACTGGGTACGGGTAGGGTACGGGTATCGGGTACCTGATTGCGACCTCTGGGATGAAGCCATGCTGCAGGCGCGGGTGGGTTTGATTCTAGGAACTTGAATTGTGAGAAGAGACAAGACGTTGGGAAATGAGTGACAAACGGTTACTCACCAGTGACTCACGGACGGCCTACCGTACCCGGCCGGGTACGGGTATCGGGTACCCCGGTTGCGACCTCTGTGCGTGACCCCCGTCCCCCCTCCCCTGCGTGTGTGGGCATAGGAGCGGAGTTGGGGGCCGGGTTAGGGGAGGGGACAGAGAAGAGGAGGAGGAGCTAAGGAGAAGGGGGAGGAGCTGAAGGAGGAGGAGGAGGATGCCGGCTACGACAAGAAGCCGGCGTTGCCGCCCCAGCTGGAGCTGTGCGGGGCGCTGCTGGAGCGGAGCGTGCACCTCCTGTCGCACCACGACGTCGCTGTGCGGCTCACGGTGAGACGCGGGACCCACACACACAAACACGAGGCCCACACACACGCGGGGCCCACACAACACACATGGGGCCCCACAACACACACACACAGGGGCACACACCACACACACGTGGGGCCCACACACACACACATGGGGCCCACACACACACACACACACGGGGCACACACACACACACGCGGGGCCCACACACACACACACACACACGGGGCCCACACACACACACACATGGGGCCCACACACACACACACACGGGGCCCACACACACACACACACACGGGGCACACACACACACACGAGGCCCACACACACACACGGGGCACACACACACGAGGCCCAGGAGCTTGTTTAACCCGACCCAACGCGATAGTTCTCTGTGTGTGTAGCTACTGGAGGTGGTGTGGGGTCACCGTGGGGCTGTGTGAGTCTGCGCTACGAACCCGGCGACCCGGGTTCGATTCCCGCTCACGGCCAACGCCTGTGACGATTGTCTGAACCGGTCCTGGGCCTCCCCTAGGTCGACTCAGCCTGAAATGAGTACCTGGTGTGGTGTGGTAAACATCGCCACTGGGGAGACAATGGCGGTCGGGCGTGGTGCTGGCCACCACCCCCTCGTGTGCCGTTCCGGCCTTCATAGGTGCTCGCTAACAGCACTTGCCCCTACAGTCTGTTAAGGCTATACGGGGGATCTTTGTGTGCGTGTGTGAACATCGCCACTGGGGAGACAAAGGCGGCCACCCACCCTCTTGTGTCCCATTCCGGCCTTCACAGGTGCTCGCCAACAGCACTTGCCCCAACAGTCTGTCGAGGCTACACGGGGGACCTTTGTCTTTTGTACCTCCGTGTGTGTAGATGCTGGAGGTGGTGCGGCTGGCGATGGGCGTCCTGTCCGCGCGCGAGGATTCCTGCCTGCCCATGGCTCACCGCCTGTGGCCGGCGCTCGTCCAGAGGCTCACCGGCGACGAGTGGAGGGTCATCCTCGCCGCATTCAAGGTGCCGTCGCGTCTGAGCGGACCCACGCGTGAGACGGTGCGCCGCGAAGCGAGCCACCCGTGAACCCCTTTTTTTCCACTGGCTCACGCGAGGCGAGCCGTCTCCGCTGGCTCTTTGCGAGCTATTCTGCTGTGGCTAATTTTAATGATAATAGTTTTTTTACCCTTCTATCTGGCAACAAAACTGACACCTTTTTTTACAAGGAGTCATGTTTGCATAGACCACAATACCTGCAGTCAGAATGCAAACAGAGTTATGTTCTTTTTGTTTGCATTATGACTGCAGGTATTGTGGTCTATGCAAACATGACTCCTTGTAAAAAAAGGTGTCAGTTTTGATGCCAGATAGAAGTGTAAAAAACCAATTATCATATTTTTTACTGGCAAATGAGGTTCCAATGGTGTAAATGCTTACCCCGAGCTCTCATACTTTGATGGTGCATTGTCTTTGAGTTGTGCGCCTTTTGGCGTCATCTGGTCCAACCCATATGAGACTAGGCTCTAAGGAAAGCTGTCTCGGGTGTGGACCAATCAACTTCAAGGACAGTGCATACATTATTAGAGTTATGTTCTTTTTGTTTGCATTACGACTGCAGGTATTGTGGTCTATGCAAACATGACTCCTTGTAAAAAAGGTGTCAGTTTTGTTGCCAGAAAAAAGGGTCAAAAAACCAATTATCATATTTTTTACTGGCAAATGAGGTTCCACTGGTTGCTAATTTTAGTTTAGCAGGTAAGACTACACTGAGCTGTTTGATTATTTCTTCAGAAGCGACCTGGCGATGACAAATGATAGCCCGGCAAAGTTGCTCATCATCATCATCGTCGTCGTCGTCGTCATCATCACGGGGACATTCATAGCAGTGACGGTGGTTTTAAATGTGGAGGGAAACACTGAAGGACCCGGTGAAATATCCACGCGACCACGGGGAGAGAGAGGACACGCAAACTCCAAATATACAGCAGCAGGCGTCAGGGTCGGGATCAAATCCACGACCTCCTGTACACCAGGCGAGGTAGTTAACATCTCCTAGCCACCGTGATGATGATGAGAGAGAGACACGCAAACTCCAAATATACAGCAGCAGGCATCAGGGTCGGGATCGAACCCACGACCTCCTGCATACCAGGCGAGGTAGTTAACATCTCCTAGCCACCGTGATGATGAGAGAGAGAGACACGCAAACTCCAAATCTACAGCAGCAGGCATCAGGGTCGGGATCGAACTCACGACCTCCTGCACACCAGGCGAGGTAGTTAACATCTCTCCACCGCGACAGTCTTGCCCAAGCTCACATTTGATCTTGACAAAACTGCAAAAGTTATATCTACAAGGGACTCCTCGACTTACGAACTGGTTAGGTTCCAGAGGTTCTGTTCGTTCGTTCATTTGTTCATAAGTCCAACTTCACTCCTGTCGATTCCAAACGTGTTGTACGGCGTGTACACTAAACACGGGGAATGGCTTTGAAAATTGTATAATCTCCTGTAGGACGGAGATGTCACTGGTTCTTCACGTTCTGCAGATGTAGATGCCACTGGTTCTTCACGTTCTGCAGATGTAGATGCCACTGGTTCTTCACGTTCTGCTGATGTAGATGCCACTGGTTCTTCACGTTCTGCAGATGTTGATGCCACTGGTTCTTCACGTTCTGCAGATGTTGATGTCACTGTTCTTCACGTTCTGCAGATGTAGATGCCACTGGTTCTTCACTCTCTACAGATGTAGATGCCACTGGTTCTTCACGTTCTGCAGATGTAAATGCCACTGGTTCTTCACGTTCTGGAGATGTAGATGTCACTGGTTCTTAATGTTCTGCAGATGTAGATGCCACTGGTTCTTCACGTTCTGCAGATGTTGATGCCACTGGTTCTTCACGTTCTGCAGATGTAGATGCCACTGGTTCTTCACGTTCTGCAGATGTAGATGTCACTGGTTCTTCACGTTCTGCAGATGTAGATGCCACTGGTTCTTCACTCTCTACAGATGTAGATGCCACTGGTTCTTCACGTTCTGCAGATGTAAATGCCACTGGTTCTTCACGTTCTGCAGATGTAGATGTCACTGGTTCTTAATGTTCTGCAGATGTAGATGCCACTGGTTCTTCACGTTCTGCAGATGTAGATGCCACTGGTTCTTCACTCTCTACATATGTAGATGCCACTGGTTCTTCACGTTCTGCAGATGTAGATGCCACTGGTTTTTCACTCTCTACATATGTAGATGCCACTGGTTCTTCACGTTCTGCAGATGTAGATGCCACTGGTTCTTCACGTTCTGCAGATGTAGATGCCACTGGTTCTTAATGTTCTGCAGATGTAGATGCCACTGGTTCTTCATGTTCTGTAGATATAGATGCCACTGGTTCTTAATGTTCTGCAGATGTAGATGCCACTGGTTCTTCACGTTCTGCAGATGTAGATGTCACTGGTTCTTCACGTTCTGCAGATGTAGATGTCACTGGTTCTTCACGTTCTGCAGATGTAGATGCCACTGGTTCTTCACGTTCTGCAGACGTAGATGCCACTGGTTCTTCACGTTCTGTAGATGTAGATGCCACCACTGCCATCTGTTGCGCGGCTGTTGTACTTACGACTCGCACACAGAGACCCATAGACTCGCACACAGAGACCCATAGACTCACCACACAGAGACCCATAGACTCACCACACAGAGACCCACAGACTCACCACACAGAGACCCACAGACTCACCACCACACAGAGACCCACAGACTCACCACCACACAGAGACCCACAGACTCACCACACAGAGACCCACAGACTCACCACACAGAGACCCATAGACTCACCACACAGAGGCTCACAGACTCACCACCACACAGAGACCCACAGACTCACCACACAGAGACCCACAGACTCACCACACAGAGACCCATAGACTCACCACACAGAGGCTCACAGACTCACCACCACACAGAGACCCACAGACTCACCACACAGAGACCCACAGACTCACCACACAGAGACCCACAGACTCACCACACAGAGACCCATAGACTCACCACACAGAGGCTCACAGACTCACCACACAGACTCACCACCACACAGAGACCCATAGACTCACCACACAGAGACCCACAGACTCACCACACAGAGACCCATAGACTCACCACACAGACTCACCACCACACAGAGACCCATAGACTCACCACACAGAGGCTCACAGACTCACCACCACACAGAGACCACAGTTTGTTGTCTTTCCCCCGCACGGTTGGCTACGTACGGCGGTGCGAAGGAAGTTCAACGCGCACACGTCCTCGCGACCTCCTCCGCATCACCGCCCCCATTAAACTCTGTCCCCTGTCCCACCCCCCCCCACCCAGACGCTGGTGTCGCTGTCGCGCGTCTGCGGCGACTTCCTGCGCCGGCGCGTCTCCGGCGAGCTGCTGGGCCCCGTCGCCGCCTCGCTGGCGGCGAGGGCGCCTGTGAGCGCCGCCGCGGGGGCCGAGGGCCGCCGCGGGGGGGGCCGGGGGGGCCGGGGGGGCCGCCCCTGTACCCGCGGTCGCTCGCCTGCCGCCTGCAGGCCGCCGCTCTCGACAGCCTGGGGCCTCTGGCCGTCGTGCTGCGGCTCGGTGAGAGGGCGGTGGCGGGTCGCTCGGTGGCCTCCACAGAGCGCAACCTGGGCCCTGGCTGGGCCTGGTCTGGCCGGGCCTGGTCTGAACTGGCCTGAACTGGTCTGAACTGGCCTGAACTGGCCTGGTCTGAACTGGCCTGAACTGAACTGGCCTGAACTGAACTGGCCTGAACTGGCCTGGTCTGAACTGAACTGGCCTGGCCTGAACTGGCCTGAACTGAACTGGCCTGAACTGGCCTGGTCTGAAACTGGCCTGAACTGGCCTGGTCTGAACTCGCCTGAACTGAACTGGCCTGAACTGAACTGGCCTGAACTGAACTGGCCTGAACTGGCCTGAACTGGCCTGGTCTGAAACTGGCCTTGTCTGAAACTGGCCTGAACTAGCCTGGTCTGAACTCGCCTGAACTGAACTGGCCTGAACTGAACTGGCCTGAACTGGCCTGAACTGGCTTGGCCTGGCTTAGCCTGAACTGAACTGGCCTGGCCTGAGCTGGCCTGAACTGGCCTGAACTGGCCTGGCCTGGCACTATGCGTCATGGTGACATCACCGTCACTCGGTGGTGAACGGCGGTTGTTGTTGATGTCGTCGGTGTGTTCCGTGCGTGTGCGTGCGTTGCTGTGTCTTCACGTGCGATGGCGTGTGCGTGTGTTCGTGTGTGTGTGTGTGCGTGTGTTGGTGTGTGCGTTCCGTGCGTGCGTGTGTGTGTGTGCGTGCGTGTGTGTGCGTGTGTGTGTGTGTGTGTGCGTGCGTGTGTTGGTGTGTGCGTTCCGTGCGATGGTGTGTGCGTGTGTTGGTGTGTGTGTTCCGTGCGTGTGTGTGTGTGTGCGCGTGCGTGTGCAGCCTGTGTGTTTTGTGACTAACAGCATGGCGCCGGAGTGAAGGTGCGAGGATGAATTATTAATTTTTATCATCTATTCATGAGCGCTCGCACGGCGCGTGCGTGTGTGCGCGTGTGTGCGCGTGTGTGTGCGCGTGTGTGTGTGTGCCTTTATTTTGTTGTTGTGTGTGTGCGCGTGTGTGTGTGCCTTTATTTTGTTGTGTGTGTGCGTGTGTATGTGTGTGTGCCTTTATTTTGTTGTGTGTGTGCGTGTGTGTGTGTGCGTGTGTATGTGTGTGTGTGCGTGTGTGTGTGTGCGTGTGTATGTGTGTGTGTGCGTGTGTGTGCGTGTGTATGTGTGTGTGTGCGTGTGTGTGTATGTGTGTGTGTGTGCGTGTGTGTGTGCGTGTGTGTGTGTGTGTGTGTGCGTGTGTATGTGTGCGTGTGTGTGTATGTGTGTGTGTGTGCGTGTGTGTGTGCGTGTGTGTGTGTGCGTGTGTGTGTATGTGTGTGTATGTGTGTGTGTGCGTGTGTTTTTGTCTGCGTGCATCCGTGGGGAGCGGCGGCTTAGCGCTATGCTGCGCTACGAACTCGGCGACCCAAGTTCGAGTCCCGCTCACGGCCAACACCCGTGACGATGATCTGAACCAGTCCAGGGCCTCCCTTAGGTTGACTCGGCCTCGAATGAGTAACCGGTGCGGTGTATAGTAAACATCGCCACTGCGGAGACAAAGGCGGCCGGGCGTGGTGCTGGCCACCCACCTCCTCGTGTGCCGTGCTGGCCTTCATAGGTGCTCGCTAACAGCACTTGCCCCTACAGTCTGTCAAAGGCTATATGGGGGATCTTTATCTTTGCATTTGTTTGCAGGTGTGGTGCTGGCCACCCACCCCCTCGTGCGCTGTGCCGGTTGTCATAGGTGCTACTCGCCTAACAGCGTTTGCCCAAACACATTCCTGCGGAGGGAGCTGGTAGGAACGTTGGGTTGCTCGGTCAATGGCCTGCAGGGTCAACGGCGGCGTGGTGTATTCCGCAAATATGCCCGACTGTGAGGGCGGGCACAAGCCGGCGTGAGTAGGTTAAACGTTGAGTTTTATAAGGGCACCACGGGGTGACCAGCCCCTCCCCACCCAGCCCCACCCCTCCCACCGCCCACCCAGCCCCTCCCCACCCAGCCCCTCTCCACCCTCCCCACCCAGCCCCATCCTCCCCTCCCCACCCAGCCCCTCCCCTCCCCACCCAGCCCCTCCCTACCCTTCCCTCCCCACCCAGCCCCACCCTCCCCACCCTCCCCCTCCAGCCCCTCCCTACCCAGCCCCACCCTCCCCGCCCTCCCCTCCCCACCCAGCCCCTCTCTCCCCACCCAGCCCCTCCCTGCACGATGGACGGACGGACACAATTATCCCTTGTGGTTCTGGTGTAACCAGGAGGTTCCTACCGGCGCTAAAGAAGGATATGCGTGTGCGTGTTTTGTTTGTTGTTGACCTCAGACAATGCGGATCTGGACACGGTGGTGACTGCTGCCTTGCCCTACCTCAGCTGCCACCAGCCGATGGTGCTGCAGGAGGCAGCGATGGGGTGAGCGCCACTCTCGTTACCAGCGGCGCTGTTACGGGATCCGCTCGTTTAACTTTTTTTCTCGCCGCCGCACGTTAGCTGACCGCGCTGATCAGAGGTGCGAACAAAAGACGAAACGCGACAAAGAAGTCGTTAAGAAATTCGTTTTTTAAAATCCTTTATATTAATTTGCTTGCGTGCTTGCTTGCTTGCTTACGACCGTGCAAATCTTTCGGTCGTTTTTTAACCCACTTCCCGTGATCCAATCGAGCTGACATTTTGCACACAGACTCGTTGTGCGTGACAATTAATGTTCGTGAAGTTTTTTTCTAAATTTTACACTGTTTAGGGATATTTTTTTAAATATTTAATTACTAATTGCTTAATGCTGCCAGACAATCATCTGACCCATAGGTGGCAGCCATCTCAAGCCAGAGGACGAGAGGACTCTAGCCGCCACGCATATAAAGGATTTATAGTGAAAAACTTTGTTTTTACGGGTTATACTTATTTTCATTCTAGATGGAAAGAGACCCGTGGAGACACACACGGCGATCGAGACTCATGTCGAAACACAGAAACCTACAGAGACCCATAGAGATCCATACTCATATATATACGTGTACAAGCAGGTGTACCCGTTCTTGGCACGGAAATTAATCATTCTAGATTTGAAGCTTTCGTGACTGCAAGTCACGTAGGTAAAAAAAGGAAATTAAAATTTATAAAAAATAAAGTCAATAAAATCACGACGTTTCGGAGGCAACACAAGTCTCCGTCATCAGATGGGACCGTCACAGCCATATTTGCTGCATCACTTGATACCTCACTTGATACATCACTAGATTTGCTGTATCACTTGATACAGATTTGCTGTATCACTTGATACAGCAAATCTGGCTGTGACGGTCCCACCTGATGACGGAGACTTGTGTTGCCTCCGAAACGTCGTGATTTTTTTAACTTAATTTTTTATTAATTTTTATTTCATTTTTTTACCTACGTGACTTTACCGAAAAAAACTAAGAGTACGGAAATTAATAATTCAGTCCGAGCATGCGGTGACATCACAGACGTGACGTCACCGCTCACTTGCCGTGCAAAATATTAGATCCATTATTGCGCCCCACCCCCACCCCCAAAATACAAAAGTCTATTTTTATACTTTTTGCATTGTGTACAGTCTGGAAGCTAGCCACATGGCGAATTTCAAGTTTGTTGCATGTCGGGAAGTATGCTAAACATTTCGAACAGACGACGATGATGACGATGATGACGATGATGATGATGATGACGACGATGATGATGATGATGACGACGACGATGACGACGACGATGATGATGACGATAACAACGATGATAACGACGATGACGATGACGACGATGACGACGATGATAACGACGATAACGACAATGATGACGATGACGACGATGATAACAACGATAACGACGATGATGACGACAATGATGACGATGATGATGATGACGATGATGACGATGACGACGATGATGACGATGACGACGACGACGATGATGACGATGATGACGACGACGACGATGACGATGATGACGACGTCGATGATGACGACGACGATGATGTCAGCTACGTCGTGCCGTGGGTCGTACCCGTTGTGCGCCGCGTTTATTTATTTCGACATTATTTATTATTTATTCCCCCCCCCCCCCCCCCCCCCCGTGGGCCAGGCTGCTGCGCAGCGTGATGGCCGTGGACCCCGACCGAGTCTGGCTCAGCCTCTGCCAGCTGCACTGCCCCCACGACCTGCAGTCGCCCGGAGAAGGTTTTCGCCCGGTCCAGTTCGCACGAAGCGCCTCCACCTCCTCCACCTCCTCCACCTCCACCTCCTCCACCTCCTCCTCCTCCGCCCCCTCCTCCTCCTCCTCCACCTCCTCCTCCTCCGCCCCCTCCTCCGCCCCCCTCCTCCTCCACCTCCACCTCCTCCTCCCCCTCCTCCTCCACCCCCTCCTCCTCCTCCTCCTCCACCTCCTCCTCCTCCGCCCCCTCCTCCGCCCCCTCCTCCTCCACCTCCTCCTCCTCCACCTCCTCCTCCTCCTCCTCCTCCACCTCCTCCTCCTCCACCTCCTCCTCCTCCACCTCCTCCTCCGCCCCCTCCTCCGCCCCCTCCTCCTCCACCTCCTCCTCCTCGGAGGGGGCAGAGTTCGCGGGGAACGTCCGCTCCTTGCTGGCCCTCGTGGACGACGAACCGTCGTGACGCTGGGCCCGATCACCCACCCACCCCTCCCCCCTCCCCCCTCCCCACCGCAGAAGACTGTTGACCTGCCCCCCTCCCCCCCACCACCCCACCTCCGTGAAGTTGGTGGAGGTGGGGGGGGGTCACCGTGGCCGTAGAGCTTGACCCGCAGGTCAGAAGGTCACTGGCCTCATCGCCAGGTCAGAAGGTCGTTGGCTCAGCCCCTGGTCGCCACGGTTACGTAGCCAACCGCGCGAATCGGAGGTACGGACAATAAACTATGGATCTTTGTGTGAGTCTATGGGTCTCTGTGTGAGTATATGGGTCTCTGTGTGTGTCTATGGGTCTCTGTGTGAGTCTGTGGGTCTCTGTGTGTGTCTATGGGTCTCTGTGTGAGTCTATGGGTCTCCATGTGAGTCTGTGGGTCTCTGTGTGAGTCTATAGGTCTCTGTGTGAGTCTACGGGTCTCTGTGTGAGTCTACGGGTCTCTATGTGAGTCTATGGGTCTCTGTGTGAGTCTATAGGTCTCTGTGTGAGTCTATGGGTTTCTGTGTGAGTCTACGGGTCTCTGTGTGAGTCTATGGGTCTCTGTGTGAGTCTACGGGTCTCTGTGTGAGTTTATGGGTCTCTGTGTGAGTCTATGGGTCTCTGTGTGAGTCGATGGGTCTCTGTGTGAGTCT